GCCTCATATGTGTGAGGCAAGTGCTCTGCCACTGAGCCACAATCCCAGACCTGAACTTCTTTTTACATAACATTTTACTAATAAAGATGAATTTTAAAACGTTTTAAAATAAACTTTCAACATGCATTGATTCCAAAAGTGTTCAGAGGTAGAATGGGAAGCAGGGGGTGACTGTAGTGGGGAAAGCATATAAAATAAAGTATGGGGACCTAGAAGGGGAGGTCTGGGCCTTTTGACAAGGAAATGGTCCTGGGTCCAGGTATGACAGAGGTGGCCCTCCCCCAGGTTCATGCCGGAGGAAGAGAGGATCTGTCCTGTGCACATGTAGCAGGCTGTAGCGGGTGTTTCCTAAATGTGGTGGGAGATAACAGCGAGAGGAGGTTGGTGAGATGGGAAACAGCAACAGAAGCCAGATCAGAGATGGGCCTGGGTGCCACACGCAGGTGCCTGGTGTGTAGGTTTCAGCTTATATCAATGTCCCTGGTGGTTGGGTGGTCCAATCAATGTTAGCCCTGATCCTTACCAGGTAATGATCTTTTTCTGTTGCCGTCTTGTTCTTATTTTGTGCTCTTTAAAATGATGAACTGAGGAGTTCAGTGTCTAAAGATCACCAAGGCAGCATAGAATGAAGAATGGATTAGGTGTTGCCTCCACCAACCAACAGGATTGCCTGTAAAGGACAACAGCCTGACACCCTGGCATCAAGGGGATCCAAGGGAGGGTTAGCTTATTCCCAAATTTCATTATGAATTCTTCCTTTTGGGCTATTTCCAAAAGCTTGTGACCCAGTGGAAACCCAGTGATTGCTAACAATGCTACTACACAGAGAAAGTTCCTTAAAAATAACTTTTTTTTTTCCTTTCTCTGCCTGGCTTATTTCACTTCAAATGATGGCCTCTAGGTTCATCTACATTGTCACAAATGACAAAATTTCCCTTTTAATGAGACTGAAAAGTTTTCTACTCTACATACAACTGTATTTCCTTATCCAGTGTTCTTCTGATGGACACTCAGGCTAATTGCACGTCATTTGAATAAAGCTGCAGAAAGCTTGGGAGAGCAGGTGTGGGTTCAACATACTGACTTCATTCCCATGGGTTGTAAGCATCAAGGTAGGTCTGCTGGACCACAGGTGTTTTAATCAACTTTTTTTCCCATTTCTTTGAATTTTTTGGTTACCTGTGTACAAATGAAAATAAAATTATGATGAAAGTAGTATTGAAAGAATTTTTTAAAGACAGATTTGGGAGGTTATTAGGAAGCAGGACTTATGCATATCTTCAGCTATTGCCTGGAATATAAACTTTGGTCCCCTCTTTGACTACAGGTATCTGGAATGACCAGAATTACTTGACAATTATAATGTGCCCAGTGGCTCGAGATGCATATCAAGAGGTTCCTGAACTCTTGTTATGTATGTCTCCATTCAGTTTATACATTCTTTTCTCTACATTTTTATTCATCATCTAGCCCCTGTTCCTTCTCAAAATTCAATAGCCCATAAACTCTCCCTTTTCCTGTCCCTTCCTGTCAATATCGGGGGTGTCCAAGAAGATCTGAAGGAGACCTTTACTTTGACCTTCCAAATTCTTAGATCCTTCGCAGAAAAATTTTAAGTACAAGTTAGGTCTTAATAGCAAAGAAGGAAGTATATTATAGAAAGAAGGTATATTCTCTCAGAGAAGAATTCAGGCAATCTCAAGAGTAGGGCTTAAGGTTAAGTTTTTTTTATTAGGGCACACACTTGGTGGAATATGTATGATCCAAAGGGCCTGGGCTTCTCCTGTGGCTGGGAAATCTTAAGAAAGATTGTGTTTCCCCATTAGGGGGTCTTGTCTGGTGTGTAGGTTTCAGCTTAAATCTACTATTGGGTAATCCAATCAATGTTAGCCCTTATGATCTTTTAGTGATCTTTTTCTGTTGAGGTCTTGTTCTTATTCTGCTAACATTCCAGAAAACTTATAAGGAACTGGAAAGTTACAAAGGAATTTACAAAATATTCAGTAAATCCTTATCCCTGTTCTGTCCTTTATGCTCCTTCATCTGGGCCATGAGTTATTTATGAGTTGATTGTTCTATTGTTTATCAGGAATATTTTTCCTTTAGAGACTCAGTGTTCTCTCTCTGTATCCCTACATTTATATTTTATTTGGAACACCGATTCAGAGCTATCTGAACTTGTGTCTCCTTAAACTGCAACACCCAAGATCACAAATAAAGTTTTTTTTCACTTTTGCAGTTTTTGAGTTTGGATTGATTGATACCTGACATACAGTTATTGCAAGGGAAGAAGGTTAAATGTTTAATTATTTTCCTTTATTTATCAGTTTTCAAAATTCTGATTTGCTAGTGCTTTCTAGGGGTATAAGAAGTTCTTAAATTACCATTTTTATGAACCCCCAATTTAAACATATCTGTTTCAATATCTTGTAGTTATCACATTAATAGTCTAATGCTATCTTTGATGTGGGAAACTTCTTTAAGTTGGCCTTTGAGTCCTTTTTGACATACTCCTATTGGTTTTTGCTAGTTTTCCTTTTTCTGGTTTGACATGATATTTCAGACTTGTTTGAATGACCCATGTCTGAAATCACAGATTTGATTTGACACTATCAACGTAAACTTATACATTATACCTTAATAATAGTGTTCAACCAAATGTAGAAATAAGGATCAACTCACAAGCCCTGAGCACTTGTAAAGCCTAGCTTGTGATATCTAAGTACCATTTCTCTCTAATAGGAACCAAAACTAACTTGGGGAACTAACTTATTCCAAATGTGGCATATTTTTTTCTTCTAAAACTTGGGATCCTCTTTTTAGCCAGTTCCTATTATTGGGAGAATTCAGAATTATATTGAAATTCAGTTTGACATACGGACCTCATATAAAGAATCCTCTAGAAAAAGCTAAAGAGAACCATTGACATTTTAAGAAGTGGAGTAACAAGATCAGATTTCTATTTCAGTAGTACCACCCGAAGAGATGTATGAAGAACAAAGTGGGTGGCATGGGAATGAAGAGCAGTTGCACAGATGGGGCAGGTCCAGTGAAGGGGGTTAGTGATGATTCAGTTTGGATATGGAGAAGCCTGATTTGAGACAGTAGCAGTGAAGTAAATAAATAACAGGCTAATTTCTGATTTGTAGCAGACACCAGTCTTGGTGATTGGTGTTTGTGTGGGTATATTGGGTACACAGGGTGAGAACTGGAAATAGCTCCCTTGGTACTCCAGGCAAACTGTGGAAAAGTGAGCACAGAATTACAGGGATTGGGTGGGAGAAGAGGTAAGTGGTGGAGGAAACCACTTCCCAGACTATCCTATTAACTAGCCTGGGAATAATTAGATTAATTTGAAGATGCCCTTCAGAGGTGGGCATTCCACTCTGGGATATCAGGGGCCATGAATTTCAGTCCTCTAAGTATTACCTAAGTAATTAGTAATATAGATGCTCCTTTTTGACCAGGTAGTGGCAAGAGGGTTTGCACCAAAAATTTCTGATATGACGTGAGGTCTACAATTGGAGAGGGTGGCATTTTACAAATAATCACTAATCCTGCTGAGAAATTTATTATTATTATTATTAT